TGGGGAGGGAGAAATCCAGAGTGTCCCCGCAAGGGTGACAAGTGTCCTCCGCACCTGGAAAGGCCACTTCCAACAAAGCTTTGCAAGAGGGACAGGCCCTAGAGAGATGACAGACTTGGGGAGGCTGGCGTCACCTTTGGCCACATCCAAGTTCAGCCAACTCGGGCGAGGCCTCAGACTCTGGAGGAACGGCTTCCAGGGATCTGCCTGGAAAAGTCCATACCACACCCACGTACGAGAAGTATCTCGCGGCGTGGGGGAAGTAGGGCTAGGTCGCTTGTTTAGCACAAGCCATATCTATTATGCAGCACATGAGATATTTGGCAGTATTTTAAGAGGCCGGTTTGGCAACGGTTTCAGTGACTCGCTAGCCTGACAAGCGGTCTAGAAAAGGCACTGAGATACTGTTTTCTATGGTGTGTTGCAATGCAGCATACATCGGAGTTGCCCTAGAAGATACAAGAGATTCCCATTTGCTTCCTTCACACGGTATCAAAAGGGGGACTAGACTGGTGCCTAGGATAAGGCTGTCCGGAGTAAGGCACCAGGTGCTCTCAGTGGGCCGAGGAGAGCCGAGGAAAGGAGGGCTTCTGGGGAAAAGTACAATCGTTTCCCCCTTTCCAAGACCCTAAGGAAAGCTTTGCGGTGCAGTTTAGCCAGACTCCACCTGTCTCCAGGTGAAGCCAAGATTCAGATGGGAGCCGGCTTTTCGTGTTACAGCAAAACAAGCGTCTGAGCTGCTTTCACAAACCTGGGCTGAAATAACAGAAAGCGAATTCACTGGGCAGGAGCGGTTCGGGGTGGGGGCAGGGCCCAGCCAGGATGGGTGTTGAGAAGAGGGTTAGGAAGGAATTGTGCTTGTCAGCTCAGCATTCGCATCCCTGGAGTCAACCCCTGCGTGGGGAGGGGAAGGGAAGGAAGGAAGGCACGAGAAAGCCTGAATCCAATCGCAGTTCCCCAGGCGCGGCTGCTCGGGATCCCGGCCCTACAGGGCTGCACTGAGGGGCTAATGCAGCTTCCCTACTGTGGCGCGGCGGCAAAGAAGCTGCCCACACCGAGAGAAGAGCCTCTCCCACATACTCCATCCCCCAAGAGGCGGTGGCCATGGCGCTGGGAGAAGGCACCCACATAGCGCGGTCTACAGCAGGGGACAGCGGCACGGCTGAGCCATGTCGTTACACCAGCCTCAGTGGCGAAACACCCACCTCCTGGAGATGCCACCTTCTCTTTTTCCTTGCACAATGAAATCCTTGTGCTTTCATGTCAGTGGAGGGGCAAGACCCGAGCTGGGGGGATGTTCACAGCTCAGGAGATTCATGTTGGCTCGGAGGGCAGCATGTTGCTTCTGCTGTGGCACTTGACAGAAAAGGCTTAGCGGGGGAGAAAGAGAGGCTCGGTCCCTACAGATCCCAAGCACTAGGAATGCCCGAGCCCCTGCACCACCCACCAGGACACGACCTGAACTAAAGCCCCAGGGGCTTTCCCACACACCCAGCTTTCATCCTGAGGAAAGGAGTTCTCCAGGTCCACGCAGGAAGGATGCTAAAAAGACTGGCAGATGTGCTGCAAAGCCCCCTTTGGCACAGGAACAGGGCAGAGCCTGGGGATGGCCGGGGACTAGTGGACAATCTGAAAAGCCAATTAAAACTGGAGTGGAAAGTGCAAAACAAAAGCCGGGAGCTAACCAGGTGAGATCCACCCACCAGCAGGGTTTGACGGATCTGAGCCCAGACGTTTGATTTCTACAACGCGCGCCTCACTCCGAGTCACACGCTGGCTTCTCCAAAGGGCGGACGCCAGCCCAGACCTTCCTGAGCCTGGCAGTAGCCCCTTTCCCAGCGCACGCAAGCACAGAAGCCACGGCCGACCGCGAGGCTGGCATGGTCCCAGCCTCGCAGACCCGGTTCCACATGGGCAGCCCTTGGTAACAAACACGGGGTGGGGTGGGGGCGGGGGAGTTTAGCCGGATGGACATTCAGAGCCCAACGTTAACAAAGCACACAGAGCCAACACAAATGGGTCACTCGTTTGGGAGACACAGCCGAGTCCTGTCGGTCGCCAAACCCATCCCTGACCACCGAATTGGTTTAGACTTTCCTGACCGGTTTGGGAGCAGAAAATGGACGAGAGCAAACTGTTGAATTGAAATTTCTCTTTAGTATTCATAGGGCACCAGCCTAACTCCTCAGGTTGCACAGAGAAGGAACAAGCAAATGAAAAAGACGCATCGAAGATGACAGGGGGAGAGGAAGAGGAGGGAGAGGAAGAAGGAAAGTGTCACGACAGAGCAGCGAAGTCAGAGAAATAACCGGCACTAGAACAATGCAGGGGTCGATGCTATTTTCCTACAGCAATTTCATTGACAAGCATCTCTGGCTTGGCACATCCGTCTCGTGAACGTGCAGCTTCAGACTGCCACAAGGCCTCCGTTTCTATGGAGACAGTCAATGGTTGCTATAACAATCTGCGTTTACGCTTTGCAGCAACGCACTACACAGCCATTAATCACTGCCAGCTCGGAGGCCAGAGAGGCATTGCCAGAGAGAACTCGGGTAGGAATTTGGCAATGGAAACATAACAACCGGAAGTGGCAGGTGAGAAAAGCAGGGCTAGAGTAGGAGGCTTGGGGCTTAGGGTTATGCAGTCACACCTGGAGAGAGGCTGGTCGTGGCGGGTGCACGTGATTCACAACCCCCCGTGCTCACACGCCTACAACTGGCTTGTAAAAAAAAAATTGTATCGTTCCCTTAACGGGGAAGAGGGCAGCGATCCGCCCATTCCCAGCTCCCAAAAGGGTTAGGCGTTAAACCACAAATTCACCACCTGCAGACACGTCTCCTCGCTTTAGTTTTCCTCTTTTTTGGGCTCTTCCTTCGGCAGCTCAGGAACTAAGATGACTTTCCCAACGTTCTTCTTTTCTTGCATCTGCCTCATGGCATCGGCCACCTAGAGAGAGAGAGAGAGGGAAAGAAAAGGAAAAAGACACAGATATGAGAAGAGAACCAAGCCTGCCTCTCCGTCCCCCATGGGAGGGACAGGCCCATGCAGTGGCATCTGTGTGGTAAGGTTTTCATCAGCAGCATCCCCTCAGATCAGCAATTGCTGTGCAGCCCCACAACGCAGACCCTTGGGCAGCTACTCCATACTGCCTGAGCTCAGACATCTCTCAGGGCTACAAGCTATGGGGCGTGGCACTGAATGGAGAGCCAGGAGGAGGGGGGGTTCGGGCTGATGGGTTACACCGGCACCATGAGGGCTTCCCGGCCCTGCTGCCACACAAACTGTGCCAAAGCAGTGACTGGCAGACAGCCTTAGGTCAGGAAGGAGAAAAGCTTTGAGCTGCCCCAGGCACTAGGCAAAGGCCAGCAGTCTGGCCAAAAGCATACAGCGCGTCCTAGCCCCCAGCATTAGCTGCACTGTGTCTGGGACAGGCCACGTCCGGAGGGGACCGGAGGGTCCTCCTGCTTCGAGCCCCGGACGAGGCCGTGCTCTCTGTAGGACTGCGCCCGCTTTAGTCTGTTTGGAAAGGCCGGGAGAGGCAGTTGGCCTTTAGCTCCCTGGGACGAGCTGTGCCAAGCAGACATGCCAATGACACACTCGTCGTTCGCCAGGCAGGACTGTGTCCTTCCGGAGCTCCCTCACGCTTGAACCTGCCGGCTTGTTACCAAGCGGCTGCCCCGAGCCAGGCAGGCAGGGCCGCGGCTGTTGGCTGGTAATGCAATCAGAGCCCCATTGCGCGCAGCTCTTCCCGGCAGAGCTCGTGTAAACAGAGGGCAGGTGAACGGGAGGGCAGCAGATTCATCTCCCAGCCAGCTGGAGACAGCCAGCGCTCCTAGTATCCACTCCCGTTTGTCTTTAGCAATTCACCCCTTGCCCCATTCACCACCGACCAAGGCCAGTTCCTCCAAACAGAAGCTCCAGGTTAGGAATCCAAAGCAAGGGGAAGGGAAAGGCAGGGAAGATGTTTTACCAGGGAACCACCCGCGTTTCTCTCCGGCTCTGGAAGGGCCTCCCAGCTGCATCACAGAACTGTACCCGCAGAAGGGCCGCTCCACAGCATTTCCCAATGGCAGCACAGTCTCAACAGCTAGCAGGCCCAGCAGTGTGGGCAAACCCCTGCTTCGCCTGCTGTCTAGCCAGGGCATGCTGGGGAAAATGACACAGCAGCATGGGACATGTGGGACTCTACACTGGCTAAACCAACCTCTCCTTTGCAGAGCTCAGGTGTGCAAGGTTGGGGCATGAAGCAGGTACCGCTCCACTCGGCATGCGGGGCCGGGAGCCAATCGGACAGACAGACGCCAACGCCTGGGGGCTCGTGCACCAGTCCTGTGCTTTGCTAGCAGCAAAAGGGCTACAAACCAGCATCACAATCAGCATTCCCTGGAAGCTGGGTGCTTGGGCAGCCACTCAGAAGAGATTTCAGTGCTGCCCAGCTGATTAGCAGAGCACCCACAGCTAGGATTCTATTGGTGGTGCACATTTGCACATGCTTTAGTGCAGATAGAAAAAATTATTCCGCACACCGCTGGCACAGATCACACCCCCTTTCTTTGGCCTTCTGCTGCAGAGACCCTAGAAGCAGCTGCTCTTTCTGCTCCTCTCTGGAGATGAGCTTGGTCCCTGGGTGGGCGAGAAGCGCTAGGACACCTCCCTGCATTACTGTCCATTCACCGATTGCTGAGATGATTCAGCTGGCTGCTGCAGCCGGGACAGTGAAGTACAGACCAGCACAGATTTCCTGGACCACTCTGAGCACCCCGTACCCTTAGACTGAAATCAGAGCAGTTTGGTAGAGTCCAGCAAACTCCGGAGACTTCACCACCAGTTTCCATGGGGCCACTGACCAGCTTCCAGGTAGGAACGCCGTGTCAGGCTGCCCGCACTACCAATCAGCTCCCCAATGGAGATTCTGTGCTGCTGGAGAGACTCAGTTCCTTCCAGCGCTGAGCACTTCTCCTCTCCCTTCCCCCATGTTTGCTCTCACGACCGGGAGCTGGAGAGGAGGGTTAAGCCACTCGAGTGTGTTCAAGAAGCTGGCAATCTCTGCAGAGAAGAATGGGCAATACCACTAACACAGCCCCCCCCTCCTCCAGAGAAAACACACGTGACCCACGCGTAGCCAGACAATCTCCCTTGCTCTGGGCAGACACACAGCGCTCAGGGACAGTCAACAGCCAAGCGGTCATTTGACTTGCATTCCAGCCACCTGCGGGATCCTTTGAAGGCAGACTTGATTAAAGGCCTTCACAGCGGCCACAGCAGGCTTGGAAAGGAGTCAGGTGGTTTTTAAATGGCGCTTTCTGGTTGACCCACGCGTAGCCAGACAATCTCCCTTGCTCTGGGCAGACACACAGCGCTCAGGGACAGTCAACAGCCAAGCGGTCATTTGACTTGCATTCCAGCCACCTGCGGGATCCTTTGAAGGCAGACTTGATTAAAGGCCTTCACAGCGGCCACAGCAGGCTTGGAAAGGAGTCAGGTGGTTTTTAAATGGCGCTTTCTGGTGCGGACAGGTTTCCGGTTCAGTGTCAATTAAAAGCCAGTCCTGCTCCTTGCACCCTCCTTCACAGGTATAACTTGTACCTCCAACCCCCTTTCCTGCATCCTCCCTTCTGCCCAGGCCTGGATCCCACACCCCCAGCCCACTCCTGCATCCCTTCCCACCCAGATCCTGAACCCCCTCCTTTTTGCCTCCTCCCAGAACCTAGGAGATCCCCACAAAATCCACTATCCCTTGACCCCCCTGGAAGAGTTAATCCAGCTCTGGGGAGTAAGCCCTGAGCCTCAGCACCTTCTCCCTCCAACCCCCCATGGGGCTGGTGCTTGAGAAGAGTGTGGGAAACATTTTTTTTTCCTGGGGGGGGGGGGGACCCACAGCTGGGAGGGGTTTTTTCCTTCTCGCTTGGGGAGGGCTGTGGGTTTTTTGTGTTTATTCTTCTCACTTGCGTGTGGCCCCTGACTGATTTTTCTGTGGGTTAGTGGCCCCCCCACCCCAAAAAGGTTCCCTGCCCCTGCTCTAAAGTCTTAGCAGTTGTGTTATCCCCGGTGGGTGGGAACAGCTTCCTCAGGCCCTGGGCAAAGTGTGTGTGTTGAGGGGAGAAAGAGCTGGGTCCACGCCCCCCAGGAGGTGGCATTGAGTGGATGGGGCAGGGTGGGACAGCCAGCACCCCCCCCCTCCCCCTGCCACGGTCCGTGCCCCCCCGCCCCTTAAAATGAGCATATCAGGTACCAGCCCTGCTCTGGAGAGAGGACAGGCAGGTCCCTGCAAAGGTGTGGGTGTTAGTGTGGGAGATTTTAGGCCATGTCTATACTTACGCGCTGGAGATTGATTTTCTGGCGTTCAATTTAGCAGGCCTAGTAGCCTCGGGCCTCTGAATTGCCAGGCCTTGGGGAAAATACCCCCTTTGCACCCCACACCGCCCCCCTCCCTCTGTGGTGGCCCTGGTTGTCGCAGAAACCAAAGCATGTTATGGCAGGCCCTGCGTCCACATCCAGCTTATTCCAACCCAGAATCTCATTTGACAGTCCAGTCCTGGGCACCCCACAGCCAGCTCTGAGCACAGGGCCCCGGGCACCCCACAGCCAGCTCCGAGCACAGGGCCCTGGGCACCCCACAGCCAGCTCCGAGCACAGGGCCCCGGGCACCCCACAGCCAGCTCCGAGCACAGGGCCCTGGGCACCCCACAGCCAGCTCCGAGCACAGGGCCCCGGGCACCCCACAGCCAGCTCCGAGCACAGGGCCCTGGGCACCCCACAGCCAGCTCCGAGCACAGGGCCCCGGGCACCCCACAGCCAGCTCCGAGCACAGGGCCCTGCTCTCCCAGTCCCGTGCACCCCACAGCCAGCTCTGACCACAGGGCCCTGATCTCCCGGTTCTGCGCACCCCACACCCAGCTCTGACCACAGGGTCCTGCTCTCCCGGACCCCACAGCCAGCTCTGCGGATGCCCCTCGATCCCGACCCGCAGGCCCCCTGCTCCTGGTCTCTTGCCAGGAAGCGGTAAAGATGCCAGCTCTGTCTAAGAGCCTATTTAATCTGAATTCATTGTTTCACTGCACCAGGCCACCAGCGGTGACAGGAAACTAGCACAGTAACGCTCCTCCATCCTCCTGCCAGGCATTGTTTTCTGATCCCCGAGCCTTCCAGGGCCCTTTCCAATACGCATGCTCTTAAAGGTCACTCTTCCAAGACATCCTAGCCAAGGGCTGATGTTCTACAGAATGGAGCTGGGCCGGGCAGGGCCTGTGTCTGGAGAATTCCCACATGAGTAATGCTGGTTCGAATTCATCTCTTCCGACAGGCGGGGTTTAGATTCCAGAGGGACTCCCCCGCCTCAGAGACAGATTTCAGGGTGAAGCGCGCTGAGTCTCCAGCAGGATTTAGCAGGACATAAGGGAAGTCGATGGGCGCGTCCCCTTTTTGTTGCTTCACCCTCAGATTTTTCTGCTCATTAGGAACTGAGACGGCAGAACAATGACCCACCCACGTGCAGTTTCCTCAGTAATGCCTGAGCCCGAGTTCAATGCCGGCTCCAGCACAGTGTGCAGCGCTGCTGTCTAATCGATATCACTCAGCTCAGGGGCCTTTTCTCCGGTCACAGCTTGGGAGCACCTTGGAACACTCAGTCTGAAAGGCGTTTGAGCAAGAAGAAAGCGCCTCCATTCGCCTGCCACGGTCCGTGCCCCCCCGCCCCTTAAAATGAGCATATCAGGTACCAGCCCTGCTCTGGAGAGAGGACAGGCAGGTCCCTGCAAAGGTGTGGGTGTTAGTGTGGGAGATTTTAGGCCATGTCTATACTTACGCGCTGGAGATTGATTTTCTGGCGTTCAATTTAGCAGGCCTAGTAAAGACCCACTAAATCAAACGCTGAGGGCACCCCCGGTCAGCACTGGTACTCCTCACAGTTGCCAGGCTTAAGGGAAGATAATGGGAGTGTTTGCTCC